TTGACACCTCTTTAACTGCCCTGGTTCCATGCTGTGGAATTCTGGGAATTGTAGTTGGTTCCAATCTCTGGGACTTCACTTACTTCCCTGTTTTATTTGTGTAATTTTAGCGGATTGGCCTTGGCTTTTCCTTCCTAAAGTTTCACTTCTGTTCCTAGAGTCCGATGAAGGTTCTTTCCTTAGCGACCTAACGAACTCTCTCTTCTTTTTCCAATCTTTTGGCTGCCGTTTCCTAGGTCCAAAACACACAATGCAAAAATAATCCAGTCTGAGACCGCTTTGACCAGGGATAGGCAACCTTTCCCCTTTAAAGGCCAAGGGACTTCAGCTCCCAGAAGTCTTAGCCATGTTGGCCAATAGTCCCATGTAGGCCAATAGCTCCTGGGATTCTGGGAGCTGAAGTCCCTCGGCCCTTAAAGGGGAAAGGTTGCCTACCCCTGGCTTTGACTGTCATGTCTCAGTGCTAGGGAATCCTGGGAATTGTAGTTTATTGTGGTACCAGAGTTCTCTGGCAGAGAAGGCTAAATGCCTTACAGAACTACAGTTGCCAGGATTCCCTACCATTGAGCCAAAGCCATTAAAGTGGTATCACACTGGATTATTTCTGCAGTGTGTTTTAGACCTAAAAACCTCTTGTTTAACAAACCAAGGTCCAAAACGCACTACAGAAATAATCCAGTTTGAAACCACTTGAATGGCCTTGATCAACACTAGGAAATTCTGGGAACTGTAGTTTTGTGAGATATTTAGCCTTCTCTTTCAGAGAGATCTGGTTCCACAATAAACTACAATTTCCAGGCTTCCCTAGCATTGACCCAGGGCAGTTGAAGCGGTCTCAAAACTGGATTATATTGGCAGTGTGTTTTGGACCCGAGTCTGCAATCTCAGTAATAGTAGTTCATTGACATCTAAAGGCCCATAGGTTCCCTAGCTCTGGCCAACCCCACTTCGTTTCCTTATTCCACAAAATGTTTTGCCACAATTTGTCCAGCCTCCAACAGCAGAATCTTATACTTGTTGTTGTTGTTGTGTGCCTTTAAGTTGCTTCTGACTTATGGCAATCCTAAAGCGAACCTGTCATGGTTTAGCTTTTTTGAGACCCAGTAAGGGCCTTTGCAGACTGCCAGGAATAGTGCACATTAAATTGAGGCACTGCCCTGGCTCAGTGCTAGGGAGTCATGGGAATTCTATTTTTTTCTGAGACATTGAGCCTTCTCTGTCAGAGAGCTCTGGTGCCACAATAAATTACAGTTCCCATGATTCCCTAGCCCTGCGCCAGGGCAATGCCTCAATTTAATGTGCACTATTTCTGGCAGTCTGCAAAGGCCATAAGTGTGCATGCTTCCTCCAGTTAATGTTGCACCAATCCACTTGCATCCCAAGAAAAAATGCTTAAAGCTGGGCCATTTGTTATGTTTGTCCTGTGTACAATTGGAGCCTTAAACAATGATGAAAAGTTAGATTTTGCCTCCTTTCTTGAGTAGGAGGACATAGATTAAATTATTAACCAGAAGGTTTGGTTTTTAGAAGTACCAAAGGCCCCATAGGAGCCATGTTTGGGTGCGGTGGAGAGACAACAAAGGGCCATGATGGCTCGACAAGATGGGAGCTCCAAGATATGTCAAGTTTGGAATATAAAATGGGAGCAGATTTAGGAGGATCAGGTAGAATATAAGGACATTTGTTCTTTGGACTATTATGAAAGCACTAGTGTTGGTGTTTTTTTGGAATAAGACAACCAAATTCAGAAGACCAGGATGTTTTTAAACAATGATGCCCTCACGGCAGAAGATAGTTTTGGAAAAAAATGGCAGAAAACAAGAGAAATATACAGTGGCCCTTGGTATCTGCCGGGATTTGGTTCCAAGATCCTACATGGATACCAAAATCCATGGATGTTCAAGTCCCATTAAATATAAAGGCATAATAAAATGGTGTCCCTTCTTCAAAACATCAAAATCAGGGTTTGTTTTTTGGAATTTATATTTTTTCTGAATATTTTCAAGCTGTGCATGGTTGAATCCCTGGATAAATAAATAAATCTGTAGATGGCAGAGAGTGGACTGCAGGGCAAACTGTGACCTCCCTGTGATCATTTAGGATGTTTTAAAGAAGGGACACCATTTTATGATGTCTCTCTTTGTCCCTGAAATAATCGGTATGTGTGAGGTGGGCTGGTGTGCATTTGCACACTGAAATGTCTGCTGCTTCTGAGAACAATTTTACCTGCCCACTGCAGTCCTTTGTGTTTTTCTCCCCCAAGAATAGCACCTTTGTACCACCCACTCTTTGGAGTTTAAAGTGAAAACAATCCGCTTTTGCGGGTTGTTTTTCACATAATGTTTGGGGTTAACCAAAACAGAAAGTACACCAAACTCGCAATTGCAGGTTGTTTCTCAGACGACGTTTGCATGAAAGAGAAATAAAGCGCAAATAAACCTAACGGAAAGTCGACAAAACCAACTCCTTTTTACTTTCGGGGTCTTCCGGAGCGGGTTTTGGCGATTTTCCATTCGGGTTAATGTCGTGTTATTTCTCCTTTACACAAATACCTCTGAAAAGCAACCTGCTTTTGCAGGGTTTGTTTTTTCGGATTTTTAAATCTCATTTCTGCACAGAATTTAAGCAATTTACCACCGTATGATAAGGTCCTTTGTTGTGATAGCAGCAGTAGCTGCAGCTGCAAACTTTACTTCCTGATAGTTTAGTGTACACAAACTATTTCATGCACAAAGTTATCAAACTATTACAGTTGGCCCCTCACATCCACGGATTCTTTACCCATGGATTTAACCATCCACAGCTTGAAAATTTAAATATCAAAAATGATATAAATTCCAGAAAGCAAAACTGAATTTTGCTAATTTATATTAAGGACAACATTTCACTACATCATTGTACAGTGATCCCTCCACATTCGCTAGGGTTAGGGGCCCAGGACCCCCATGAAAGTGGAAAAACCATAAATAACAAAATTACTGAGAGAACACCTCTCTGGGAATCTCTAGGTCTTCCAGTGCAACTCTGTGGTCATCATCTGCCAGACATTGACCATAGAATTGCGCTGGAGGAGCTACAAATTCCTAGTGGAGTGTTCTCTCTAGGAATCTCTAGGTCCTTCAGTGAGACTTTTGATTAAAATTTACAATAGAGTTGCACTGGAGGACCTAGATATTCCTAGCAAGAACATACTAATGCAATCTGTGAATAATCAAATCCACAAAGGTCAAATCCACAAAGGTGGGGGGATGACTGTATTTAAATGGGACTTGAGCATCCATGGATTTTGGTATTCACAGAGGGTCCTGGAACCAAACCCCAGCAGATACCAAGGGCTCATTGTATAAAATTACCTTCAGGCTATCTGTATAAAGCTTAGATGAAACATAAATTTCATAGTTGGATTCCCAAGATATCTCATAGAATCATAGAGTTGGAAGAGACCACAAGGGCTATCCAGTCCACCACCCCGT